TAATATATATATATATTGTTGCTTACCTGCACGAGGTGTTTGTGTTCCTTTTTGGTGCAGGCCTTGTGCGATGATTGTGCCTGATGTGTTGTTCATTTGTGAGAATATGTTAATGTCTGAGGGATTTGTTTGTGCTCGCGCTCTGGCGCACAAGTTTGTGACTCTTTATGGCCTCTGCAAAACTCTTCTTTCCGACGCCAAGCATTACGACTGGGGCTTAAGAGCCGTCAAAGCGGTCTTGCGGCAGGCAGGTGCCCTCAAGCGAGCAGATCCTAATGTGAACGAAGATACACTCCTCATGAGGGCCCTTCGAGACTTTAACATCGCCAAAATCACTACAGAAGGTACGACACCTGCTAAACGCTGCAGCATGTGCATGCATCTATGGTCTACCCGCTAAGACAGTTGTTGAGGGACAGAAGGAGTTACAAGCGAGGGAATATAATGCTGCACAATCTCAAACACAGTAATGCAAATGCATGCATGCATGCAGCTACTCATCAATTATTGCATGCAGATACTTTTCAATTTTACGATATGTGCATTCGCCTACTTGTAAACTATTGCACGCAGCTGACTGCACCGTATGAAGCAACAATGTTTTAACAGACACCCATTCACAAGTATAACGTCTATTCTACAATTGTGGGGATTGAGGGGCTGTCAGGGGCCAGGCTTTGTCTGCGTGCCGACAAATCCTATGCAATGGCTGGCAGTCGTGATTAGCGAACAAAGCCAGAAATAATCAGCAGACCACGCCACATTGGTATTTGCCTTGGTGTTGTCAATTGACAGCAAATATGTGCGCACTGCGTTGGATTGCATGCGGGTGACCCACACGAGATTATTAAAATTAGCAACTATAATAATTATACCAACGATTTTAACTGTAATATTGGGTTGAGTGACAAAAGTGCAGATAATAATGCAACTAGGCTTTTTATGCGTGTTGTATTTGCATACATGAAGATCTGCCATCTGAAGGCCCAAGTGATACAGCATCAACAGCAGCAAACCCGATAGAGCTAAAAGCAATTCTGCTTCTTCGAGTTGCCACAATAATGTCACTAACAACTCCTTCTACGCATTCACTCGTGCGTGTCCAGATTGTGTGCTTGCTTTCTTGCATGCGTGCGTGTCTGCAGATAAGCCCATTTTCTTGCGATTGATCGAAGACTTATTCCCTGGGGTGGTGTCTCCACCTAAGAGAGACGTCGAGTTCTGGAAAGTTGTAATGGCAGTGGCGAAAGCACAGAAGCTTCAGTGCGAAGAACAGTTCATCCTTAAGTGTGTTCAAGTCAGAGAGGTGCTGCAGGTAAGACGTCATGGGTGTTAATATACATATATCTACACGTTCATGCACATGCATATACGTGTATCTATGTACTTGTATATGTATATGTATATGTATATGTATATGTATATGTATATGTATATGTATATGTATCTCCATATATGTATGCACACTTCATCCGTCCATCTGTTGCCCGCTCCCCTAAAATTTGCTAGCTGCTTGTTTGGGCCAGTGGCGGGTTGGCATTTTAGTTGATTTAGTTCCCATTTTTCTGTTCTTTGGCCTATTCTTTTTCTATCTCCTTTATTCAGTGTTAAGGGGCAGAAAGACGACATTCGAACGTACACCATGCATGTAACAGTCCATGCATGTACTCATGCACACAAGCAAGCACTGCAGTGTGTGCACGCATTGCCCTGGATACTTGCATGCTTGTGCACGCATGCGGCGCCATGTATTCGGGAATGCCTACTTCATCAATGGTTCACCGGTACATCTGTGCCTCCATGTAGGTGCGTCACTGTCTGTTTATTTTGGGGCCCCCGGGTGCCAGCAAGTCTCGCGTGTGGCAAACGTTGTCAAAAGCCCTGAAGGCAATTGGAGAAGACGGGGTTGTGGAGGTGTTAAACCCGAAAGCCATCTCTACCAACGAACTCTACGGGTACGCTTATGTATATCAACGTACGTAGACGAATGTAATTGTGGCCATGAGTATTGCATGTGTATATTTGAGTACTTGCACACAGGCTAGCAATATTTACACTCCCACATTGTTGAGTGTAGACTGCTTATCCCTTAGAGTTTCATGCGTGAACGCGTGAGTCTCTCTCTGCAGTTACATGACCCCAGCGAAGGAGTGGAAGGACGGCGCAGTAGCTGTGATAATGCGCAACATGTCAAAAGAAAGAGGAGGATTTAAGTCTTCACATTTGCACAAGTGGATCGTCCTCGACGGGGACATCGATGCAGAATGGATTGAATCGATGAACACCGTCATGGACGACAACAAGGTGATCTGGAACGGAAACCGTAGATCACAGTCTCTAACTGACAACCAGCAAACCCGCACGCCCTAAGCTCTAACTCCAGAAACCACATCCAAAACTGCAAACTACAGATCCTAAGATTCAAGCCACAAACACTAAACCACAAAGCCTAAGCCACGACTACAAAACCTAAGCCACAATCGCCAGTCGCACAAACCCGCACATGCGCATCACACCCGCCAAGCCGTAAACCCAAAATTCAAGCAACAAACCCTACGTCCCAAAACCTAAGCCTCATGCCCTAAACCACTAAAGCGCTAGCCCTACATCCCAAGAACGCAAACCCAAAGGCACCAGCTACACTTGGAAGACGTAGCAAATGCCACAAACTTTAGACTACAAAGACAAACACAACAGCATACGTGGTTGCCAGCCCCAGTTCACAGACGGAACACCTTGAAGTAGCAACAGAGCCTTGGACTGGACCTGAAGGGTTAAACATTGTATGTCGCGTACAGCTGCATCATTGGAACTTCCAGCTCCGTCCTCGGATCTTCTTTGTTTTGGTGATACGCGAGAGCACTGGGGGTGTTTTGTTGTGCTCGCTATGGTTTGCAGGTGTTGACATTGGTGAGCAACGAGCGTATTCCCTTCACTCCAACTATGCGCATGATATTTGAAATCGCGGACATGAAGCATGCAAGCCCTGCCACTGTCTCAAGAGGTGGGGTCGTGTTCATTAACGAAACGGACGTTGGCTGGAAGCCGTTTGTGGACTCGTGGAGAGAAACCCTATCTGATCAAGTCGCTCAGTCGCAGTTCTACCTGCTCTTCTCCTACTACTTCGAATCCGTAAGTCGAATCCTGCAACCTGCAAATCTCCTACTACAAACACCACGCAGCTTTTCATCGAATCTCCTCCGGAAATGCCTTGGGTTTAGGGTCTAGGGTTGGCGGCGTAAGGCTTGCCTTTGGCGTCTGGGGCTCGGAGGCTAGTACTTGAGTTCCCGTTTAACTACTGAAGACTTGGAGTATGTCGTTTATCTCTTAGAGTTTAGGGTCTACGATCTAGGGTATTGACCATGTGGTGCGCAGAACATCGATATGTTCCGGCGGAGTTTCAAGTTCGTCTGCCCCATGACAGACATAGCATTTGTAGACGGCATTTGCTGTTTTGTTGATGCGCTGCTATGCAAAGACAAAGCTACAGCAGAAGCCTTTAAGTCCAAAAGTGTTGACGAACAAAAGCTTACATACGAAGGCTACTTCCTTTCAGCACTCATGTGGACTGTGGGCGCCTGCGTCGCAGACGATAAAGCGGTCAACTACAGGTAAATTACTCCTGTTACACTGTAAACCCTAGGTTTACTAATGGGTTGAGTAAATCTTCCGCCTGTATTTCATCTAGCGTGTTTAGAATACGAATCTGTGCTGTGTTTATTCGTACAATTCAATGGCGTTTCCATCGTACTATCTCCGTATGATTTAACTGCACTTTTTTTCAAAATATTTTTGCCAGTATAAATGATGTAAGACTCACTAATATAAATACTTTCATACATATGTGTATATTCAGTCCAAATTCCCTGGTTTATTGGTGCCACACTGCCGGTAGCCCACGCCAATTCTTTAATGGTGCACCTTTGAGGAGCAATTGCCTTTCAAACCCACCAGCGTTTCCAACGCCTACCTGCTTATGCACGCCTGCATGAGTGCATGTATACTCTGTGGCCCCAGATCTCAGTTCAACAGTTGGCTGCGAGCTGCAGCTCGCATTAAGTTTCCTGAAGGCGGTCTTTGCTTTGATTACTTTTTTGAAGAGAAGACCTGTCAATGGGTCCCCTGGAGTACCCAGCTGATGCCCTATGAGCCCGTCACTGAAATGCTTTTCAACAAAATCATCGTAGCCACCACGGATATCCTCCGGTAAGCTTTATTAAGATCCCTGCTTAGGGTCTAGGGCTTACCTGTTGTCATGCAGATGATTACCTGTCAGAGACTACGTGCGCGAGGTCTTTCAAGACTGCGCAATTCTGATTTAGGGTCTGCTGCATACTAGTTAGGGTACAGTGCTCCGTAAGACTCCAAGATACTGAGTATACACAGATTTGCGTTTATGTATAAATATATTGTGCCTCTTCAGCCATTTATCGTAACCTTAAACTTCCTTGTGTTGTTCGGTCGTGCATTATATTGAACATTCGCAGTGGTTTTGCACTCACAGGTAATTATTTATGTTGCTATGCTTGCGTCCAGCATCAACTACGTGAACGAACTCTTCTGCAAACGCGGAAGGGCCGTGCTGCTCGTTGGCTCCTGCGGTTCTGGAAAGAGTACGATTGTGAAGGTGACAGGACTCACTGATGCCCAAGAATGCATTCACTGAACACATATTCAATAAAACACTTGCTCACGGTGTAGGGTGTAGGGTGTAACGACACATTAGAACGCTACATTCAGTGAATACATATATTTAATATTACAAATAGTTGATCATAGTGTTTATGTGTATATATTGAAACACCCATGTAGCAGCGTATTCGACTGTACGCTCACTTCAGGCATATGCAATAACCGAAATATCCACATTTTAACTTTTCTATGAACGCAGTGAATGTTCGTATACAACTTTATGCAGTGTTTCACAGTATTCCTGTACTTACAAGTTTTGCCCTACTTCTGTGTGCTTCTTCCGTTATCACCCTGTATCGGGGTCGATGTCGAAGTAAAACTATTGGTCATTCAGTGGCCCACTTTGGCTTAATTCAATGTCCTGCTCTTCCTGAACGGTGTTGAACCTGCGAAGACACAACGCGCTATCCTGTGAAAAGTACATTGTTCGACGGACGCATTTGTATTGTGCCTATCCAGTACGAATACTTTTGTTGGATTGGTTTTGGTTGTCTGTTATTGTACAGATGTGTGCCTGTTCTTTCGCCTTGCTCTGGTGCTTATGTGGATAAAGGTGTGATATCTGCATTCATGCTTATGTTAATCCGCATCTTGTTTATTTCTACACACGGATATTTATATTAAAAGCTCCATCTTTTCAATCAGGTTCTGCTCATCTTTTGCTTATCCGTTCGTTGCCTTTAAGAGTCTCCTTCCTCTGTTTACTTCACCCCAACGACTGTTTTCTTCATTCACCTGGTGTACCTGTCCCATCTTCCCTTACAATTTCGCAGGAAATATGCGCTGCGCATAGAGACATCTAAACGTATACATAAATATATATACGTATGTCCGTTCGCCGTCTTTAATTTTGTGTTGCTTCACGTTAACCTGTCCGTGTACGCATGTCTCGTTGTATTTGCTGAAGGACTTCCTAAGGCGTCTTCCTCCTGAATTTGAAAGTGCGACGATTAATTTGAACTCCTACACAGACTCTCGCACCTTGCAGAGCATTTTGGCCTCCAACATCGAAAAGCGGTGCGCCAGTGTACTACAATTATGCTACACATGTAACCATAATGTGGTTATGAAAATATCACGCTTGTAGTAGCGTGTTGGAGCTGCTTCCAGTTTCATCGCCTTCGTCATCGTCCTATTCTTGCGTCCCCTTTTCCAGTATTGGCGTGCACTTCATAGTGTCTCAGCGATGTAGACGAACAACAATTCTTGTGAAAACCTCTCTGTTGGAAGCAGTAGCAGCATATACACTTTGAGGCGCCGTTAGAGCCTGATAATTGTTGGTTCGCAACTATATGCGCTCTTCTGTGTGTGTATATCTCTAGCTGCTTTTTTGCGTACTTTTTCCTACTTTTTTAGGGTGTAGGTTTCATACTTTGCGTTCCTCTTTGTGAATTTGTGTGTATAACAGCACGGGTCACACGTACGGGCCTGTGGGCAACAAGCGCATAGTGTATTTCATAGACGATCTGAATATGCCGTTTGTCGACAAGTACGACACGCAGCCTCCTTTGGAGTTGCTGCGTCAGCTGATGGACTACGGCAGCATGTTTGACAGGGCGCACTTAGAAGACAGAATGAACGTGGTGGATGTACAGTACATGGGGTGCATGAACCCCACGGCGGGGTCGTTCAATATCAGCTCGCGTCTGCAGCGCCACTTCTCCGTCTTGACGTGCTTTGAGCCCGATGCAGAAACCATCGAGCGCATTTACGGGAGTATCTTGCGCCATCACTTGCTGCCCTTCGATGCTCCTGTTGCTGAACTGGGGGCAAATATTGTACAGGCTTCTATTGACTTATTTGCTCAAATACACGCTGACCCTGCCTTCTTGCACTCGGCAAAAAAATTCCACTACAACTTCAACCTACGCGACCTCTCCAACTTGTTCCAGGGAGTGCTAAGGTCGTCTGCTTCGCTGTATAGGCAGCCAACGGGAGGGCGCCTGAAGCTCATTCGCCTGTGGCTGCACGAAGCAAACCGCGTGCTGCGAGACAGGTTAATTTGTGAAAATGATATGAACGCCCTCGATAATATCCTCACGGGAGTCACCAAGAAACACTTCCCTGATGAAGAGCAAGACCAAATGCATGCAGCCCCAAATGTCATGTGCTCCTTCTTATCCGAAGCTTCTGGCAACGATGCAGTTCGTAACACCATCAAGCAACGGCTCAACCAAACACTTTTTCACTATTGTACAAGCACACAGCACAGCAGCCAGGCATATTCAATTATGCAGACAAACTGTACAAGAGATGTTCAAGTAAACGCTCGACTGTATTCCTAAGTATTCAAAGTCAACACTGAATTCGCTAGGCTCTGTTCGGATAGTCCAGTCCACACAGGCACGCTGTCGGATGCCGCATTACATATATTACGTACTGTTCGCTTTACACGGCATAGTATGATTAGTATGATGAAGTGTGATGAAGACACTTTTCAATAAGGGGGTCAAGCGCCTTTTTCCCCCGTTTCTTGTCGGAAAATCCGAAGCTGGCATTGGGCAGCTTAGATAGAAAATGCAGCCGCAACTTCCAGTCCTGCATGACTAACAATAACAATAGAGAAGAAAAATGGTTTGAATAATAGTTTATGTACAACATCGATTCACTTGTGGAATGTTTCCAGTAGTGTTTTAAGTTTTACATATAGAGTGCTTCTGCCGGTGTACTTATCACTGGTGTGATTTATACCTGTACGTTGTTTTCGGCAAAAATGAGAGTACAAACTGCTTTTCCGTACACATGCATTCGAACAATTATGTTCTTTGGCGCCTGTGTGTACATGCACGTTTTTGTATATCTGCGTCCAAGTACGCGTACAGATTAGACGCAAAGGTTTGAGGTGTACACCAGCGCAAATCCACGAATATATCCAGCAAATATTCCTACCGGCTCCCATGTTGACCTGAAGTGACTCCTTTGATGTGGGACTTTGTTCAGGTGTACATACCGGCTGCAGACATGGACTCGTTGCGCGCGGTGTTGGCAGAGAAACTGGAGGAGTATTCACAGACGTTTACGGAGATGAACTTGGTGTTATTTGACGATGCAGTGTTGCACGTGACGCGTATATGCAGAATAATAGACCTGCCTGGGGGCAATGCGCTTCTTGTGGGAGTGGGAGGCAGCGGCAAACAGAGCCTCAGCAGGCTTGCGTGTTTCATATCGAAAGTCGACACCTTCCAGATCGTCGTCAGCCAGCACTACGACTGCGCGGCATTCAAAGTAGACATGCAAGTAGGGCACTTGCATGCTGTTATACTTTTTGGGGCTTAGGTTTAGGGTTTAGGTTTGGGAGTTCTACTTTAGGTATTCCTGGGTCGTGCAGCACATACATTGTAAAACAACACACTTGCGAGACCCAACAAAACCTCTAGGGTCTTTAAGAGGCAACGAAATGTTTTAAACCCTCGAGCATGTAACGCAGCATCCTTTTAGTATCCTTCAAAGGCAGACGCAGCACTTCAATGGTTTCGAGTCTAGGGTATGGGGCTGCAGAATTTGGACTTTGGATATGGCATGGGTAAAGGGACAGGCTAAGGCTTCGAATTATCTCAAAACCTTCCGACTGAAAAGCCAAACGCCATAACTTAAGAATCAGTTCTTAACATGTCTATCCCTTTCCTGGTCCTGAATAGGACCAGGACCTTTCCTGGTCCTGAATAGTCTGCCTGTCTCTCCCTGTCCCGTCAGTCGGTCGGCTCGCAAACGATTCAATTACTTGTCTCATCAGTCTGGTGGACAGCTTCTATCGTACATCTCGGCAGGCGTTGCACCGGGCAATAAACAAGAGGCAAATGGTCTTTGTACCGTTGCTGCGCTGTCTCCTCAGGAGTTGATGAACAAAGCCCTTGTGCGCCCCGGTACGCCGCATGCGCTGCTGCTGACAGACCAACAAATTGTAGACGAAGAACTTCTGGTTTACGTCAACGACCTACTCGCCTCAGGCAACATCCCCGATCTCTTCACTAGAGATGAATACGAACAGATCTTCGCAACACTCAGGTAAAAGGACACTAAGCACTTCAAAACCGATTGATGTAACTCTTGGCGTTTTTTCGCACATCTCCTTCTTTGATATCTCAAATTAACTAAAAGGTCCAGCTGTAATTGTCCTTGGAAACAACCCAAACCTGGCACATCCTCCACCGTTAATCCCCGAATACAAACCCAAGCCCGAATTTACAAACTCTCAACGCCGTCCATCTGCATTTAACCGGAAAATTCTTCCACTGACTGCCCTTTGTTTGCTGTCTTGCACCTGTTTGTTTACTGCAGAAAGCAGCTCAGACCTGGAGCTGCTGCCAATACTCGGGAGGCCATGTGGCAGGTGTTCACAGACAAAGTACAAACAAATGTGCACGTGATTCTTTGTCATTCACCTGTTGGCGAACACTTGAGAGTTCGAGCACGCAAGTTCCCAGGCCTCATCTCAGGAACAACAATCGACGAATTCCACCCTTGGTCCAGAGATGCCCTTGTGCAAACAGGCACTGCTTTCCTCAAGGGTGAGCAGGGATCAGCAGGGTTGAGGGGATAGAGATTGAACGCATTGGTCCCGGCGTCGCTCTAACTGACCTTGCGTATGTGCGCATGCATGATGAGCTCATGATGCTGCTACCGTTGGTGCTTCCAGTGTTGCTACAACATCACTTCATTTTGGTGGATGCTGTATCTGCGTTTGGTACTTATGCGATAGTTGCGAGTATATACACCGCATATTCTGTTGTGCCAATGCACACAGTGCAGGTAGAGTACGCAACTCAACCAGTCAACAAACCGTGTGCGGTATGCATGCGATTCAAGCAATGCACGCAGTGCATGCTATTCATGTGATGTGCACAATGCATGCAACGCCACAAATGGAATCAGTGCATTCCATGTGTGCAATGCACGCGCTTTGTGCACTGAGTGCATTGCATGCACGTGCGCTGCAGACGTGGAGCTGCCTTCTGAGGATTTGCGGGGTTTGTTAGCTGAGCACATGGCGAATGTGCACTTGAGTATTGATGCGGCGAACGAGCGCTTCTTACGAGAAGAGCGCAGGCACAACTACACTACGCCGAAGTCTTTCTTAGAGTTGATTGCTTTCTACAAGCAGTTCTTGGAGAGGAAGAGAGAAGAGGCAAACCAATCGATCGAGCGCCTACAGAAGGGTCTCACTACACTCAAAGAGACTACAGCAGAGGTGGAGGGCCTCAGAGAAGACTTGAAAGAAAAAATGGCCGTGGCAGATGAGAAGAAAGCAGCCGCAGACGCCCTGGTCGAACAGGTGCTGAAAGCGTCAGCTATTGCTGATGAAGAGGCAGTCATAGCAAACACCGAAAAAGACAAAGCCAACCAGCTCAGTCAAGAAGCCGCTGCAATTCAGCAAAAGGCAGACGAAGAACTCTCAGAAGCCATGCCTGCTATGGAGAGGGCCCGCGAGGCTGTCAAATGCCTCACCAAACCCGCAATACAAGTAATGCTGAAGACAACGCCAACTAGAAATTCGATGAGTTGCCAATGATACTAGTAGTTAAAGCAGCTGTGCATGCTTAAACAAACTCATTTGTCAGAACAAATTACATCAGACAGGAAGCTGCTAATTAATTGGCAATCATGGACAGCCCAAAACAGGTTGGTTTGTTTCCGCAGCAGTAGGTACAGTTACGAGAAAAATCAAAACTGCCAGGTTCAACTGCATACACCTTTGCCAGGCCAACAGCATGCACAGAGTGCTGCTCAGCACGCGCTCTTTCGTTGGAAACTAGCGATACTATAAACAGTACAGCACCAATTACACAGTAAAAACTTGTTTACAATTATAGCTGTAACATACGTATAATGCCAAACGTAATAGTGTAGACTGAGTCTGCCGGCTACGACTGCATATACGTACACATATAATAATATATAGTATATACATCAGTAACAATGTGTAAGCACATTCTCCTTTCTTGTCTTGTGTGCAGCTCGCACTTGTGATCCAAGTCTTGTGTGCAGCTCGCACTTGTGATCCAACCAAAGTTTGCAACAGTGATAACAGCGCCAGCGAAGCTCAAATTGTGCAGCTGTACTTTCGAAACACACCGTGGCATATTTTCTAGGTGTGTCTACATTGCGCAGGAGCTGAAGTCGCTGCCCAAGCCGCCTGCGGAGTGTTTAGAAGTGACGAAGGCGGTCCTTATTATGCGGGGAGAGACGAAAAACACCGAGTGGAAGGCAGCGCAAAAGATGATGAGTGACCCTGCAAAGTTCCTCGACCAGGTAGGTCCTAAGCCTTAGGTCCTATAACCGTAGAATCTAAACTATGTAGGGTCTACGGTCGCTAGAATCTACAGCAAGGATAGCCCGTGTGTGAATTGAGGTTCTAAGTGCACAATAAAAAGACCGAAGGGGAAGAAGCTCTTAGCAAGTTATGTATAGCTTATTCTCTCGTTGTCACCCTCATTTACAATATCCACTTATTTTTACCTTCGGTTCTGCCTCACCGACCCTTCGCTTGACGAGACAATTATTAATTACCTTTATGTCGTGATGCGGAGAAAACATAAAATGAATGAGATAATTACGTTTCCATGGTTGCGTTATAAACAGTATAGTCTTACTGTGAGAATTCTTCCTTTTACATTTCAGGTGCGTGCTTTTGACGCTGAGAACATGACGGAGGAAACAGTGAACGCGATCACTCCTATCATATCTCAGCCCTTCTTCAATTTTGAAGTGATGAAGGGCAAGTCTTTAGCAGCTGCATTCCTGGCAAACTGGGTTGTCAACATTGTCACCTACAATACCATATACAGAAAGGTCAAACCCCTCATGGATAAATTCGCGGAGGCGACGGAGTCCAAGAACAAAGCAGACTCAAACCTCGCCCAAGTCCTCGAGAGAGTCCGAGAGATTAACGGTGAGAGATCCTCCAGTTTTCATCATGCAGTTATAGGCCACATAGACGCTGGTAGATCCACTTGTGGGTACGCTGTCCGCCTTTACAGAGTTTTTATTGTGTACTTTTCAAACGTAGGTGCACATGTATGCATGTCTAAGGATGGGACAACACGCCCAGTGCACGAATGTGCGCATATAATTGGATATGCATACATACAGCTCTAGTCGTATCTGCACACACAAGGGAATATTCTGAAATCTTGCATAGATGCTTGATGATACATGTTAAATCGTGTGAATATGTATTGTCGACTAAAGCCTCCCTTAACAGCTGCAGTATTACCATAACCAGAGTTGTTTTGCAGCATGGTTGAAATGCGTTTCTCTGAAAGGAGTTAATTGCATTAGCAACAGCACACTCTTCATTATTATACTACAAACACTATTCCGGTTGTCATTATGTCCGCTGTAAAATGTCGTTATTAAACACATGGCAGCAGCTATGCTACTCATTGAAACAAACGGACATTCCAACCCCGGCAATAGCAAACGCAGTAACAACGGCAGCAAACAATTAACAGCAGTAGCATCACGTGAGCAGTGGCTCCAAACGCAACAGCAGCATGGTTACCCAAAGCAGCAGCAGCTGCTGCAACGTGGGCTCTGTGCGTTGTCTTTAGAAAAGGTGGCGAAGCTGCAGCAGAAGATGCAGGAAGCAGACGAAGAGCGCCAGGGTGTTGTTGCGCAAGCAACAGAATGTCAGTTGAAGTTAGATTTAGCGGAGCGGCTTGTGAATGGTTTAGCAGATGAAAACAAACGCTGGAATGAGTCCATGACAGAACTCGAATCCTCTAAAATGACTGTCATCGGCGATTATCTCCTGGCCGCTGCTTTCGTCTCCTACGCTGGAGCATTTTCGGCACCCTTCCGCGTCGGCCTCATTGAGGTGATGACAATTGCCCAAAGATATTCTTGGTTAATATTTATTTTGGTAGATTTCGTTCGTTTGTGTGCTTTATTTTTCATGTTTGTTGCTTGGTTAATGTGGTCGATTTGTTTACTGTTGCCGCTGAAGATTGAATGTGTGTATGCGTACATGTCCGCATGCGGGCGCCTTTTAAACGTTTATTTCAGTGTATTTGGCTATAAGGTGTTCACGGTTTAGATGAAGCCTGCAGTTGTGTGGTAACCACATATGCATTGTTCCTCATATATTTGTTATATTTTTATATAGTGTATATGCCAATATGTACAGATAGGTATGTATAGAAGAAGAATACGTTGACTGTTTATATATATATATATA